AGTCTTCCCCTTGCGCAGCAAGGGTGATGTCACTGAGGTGTTGATCGACTGGATCCGCGCAGCTCGTCTCCAGCTCAGGAGGAGCTTCGGCTCGGACTTTCCTGTTCTGCGTCTGCACTTTGACCGAGGCGGAGAGTTTTCCTCTGGCCTTCTGCGAGCCTACTGTCGTGCACAGGGCATCCGCCAGACCTTTACGCTCCCGGACTCTCCACAGCAAAATGGGATTGCTGAGCGCCGCATTGGCATGGTCATGGACGTCGCCCGTACGTCCATGATGCATGCGGCTGCCCCCCATTTTCTGTGGCCGTTTGCGGTGAGGTACGCGGCGCATCAGATCAACCTTCACCCCGGGGTTTCCCGGCCGGGGAAGGTCCGTACCTCCCCGGCCCTCCTGTGGACTGGGAAGGTCGGCAATGCGTCTGCGTTCCGTGTCTGGGGATCTCGGGCGTTTGTCAGCGACTTGTCTGTGGACAAGCTGTCCCCCCGTGCTTCTCCCTGTGTCTTCCTTGGCTTCCCCCCTGACGCTCCAGGGTGGCAGTTCTACCACCCCTCCTCTCGTCGTGTTCTGTCCTACCAGGACGTCACGTTCGACGAGTCCGTCCCCTTCTACCGCCTCTTCCCCTACCGCACTCCCTCTCTCCCCCCGCCACCGGACTTCCTTGTGCCAGGTCCCCCCCCGGTAGACCCCCCCCCCCCCCCCCCCTCAGGTTCCTGCCCCTTCAGGTGTGTCCCAGGTAGACGCCGTCGAGCCGGTCGAGGTTGATGGTGACTCTGGTCCTGTTGAGGGTGCTGAGCCTGGGGGTGCTGACTCTGGGGGTGCTGTGCGCGTGGGTGCTGAGCTTGGGGGTGACGAGCCTAGGGGTGCTGAGCATGGGGGTGCTGTGCGTGTGGGTGCTGAGCTTGGGGGTGACGAGCCTGGGGGTGCTGAGCCTGGGGGTGACGAGCCTGAGGTTGCTGAGTCTGGGGGTGCTGCGCCGGAGGGTGTTGAGCCTGGAGGTGCTGCGTCTGGAGCTGCTGAGCCGGGAGGTGCGGAGCCTACGGCCACTGGACCTCCCCTTGTGGAGTCTCGCGGTGCTGGACCTGGAGTTTCTCCGGGTGTTCCGTCTTCGCGGGAGCCCCTCTCTCCACAAGAGCTGCGCAATTGGTTTGCTCGCCGCTGGAGGCGTACTGCTGGAGCTGGAGCATCTTCGGCTGCTGAGGGTGCTGGTGCTGCCGGTCATGGAGCTGCTGAGGGTGTTGGTGCTGCGCCTGCTACTGTCTGTCCTGGAGGTGGTCTTGCCACTGGAGGTGCTGTTGGCGCTGGTGCTGCCGCTGAGGGTTCTGGTGCTGTCCCTGCTGTGCCTGGAGTCCCCGCGCGGCCTCGGCCGTACTTCGTTCCGCTCCTGCAACAGGTTCTTGGTCTTCCTCCGCCTGTAGAGTGTCCGCTGTCTGTCCAGTCGCCGTCCCTGTTAGAGCCGGCCTCCCCACTACCTGCTCCCTCTCCTTACACTGGTCCTACTGGAGGTCTCGCTGAGCGTCGTGAGCCTGCGTCTCGTCCCGCGTCGCCTGTTCGTGCTGCTCGCGCTAGTGGTCGCGGTTCACGTCAGCGTCCTCCTCCTGTCCTTGGTACGCACCGGATGTCCCTACGTCCGTCCACTGCTCCTCTGCGTGCCCCTTTGCCTTCTCCTCTTGAGTCCTCTCTTCCTGCGCTTTTCGACCCGGAGTCGGACTCTCTTCGTGCTGCCAGTCCTACTGTCACGCGTCTTCTTGCTACTGTTGTCACTGACCCCTCTTTCGAGTCCACTGCTGCGTCTGCTCTTGTTGCTGAGCTCGTCGACTTTGCTGCTTGCTGTCGTCTAGACTACGCTGCTAGTCTTGTTGCTGAGTCTGCGTCTGTCTGTCCTCCGTCCGTCGGGGGTGAGTGTGCTCTTGGCACGGACGTCCTTGAGGACAGGCAGGAGGAGTTCCAGTGTCTGGCTGCTGCTTCACCTCATCTCGCGTCTGTACTACTTGCCCCTGAGGGAGACCCGGATGCACTAGACATCCCGACTCCGCGTTCTTACGCGGAGGCCGTAGAGGGTCCCTACTCCTCTCAGTGGCAAGCAGCTATGGATGCAGAGATGGCTTCCTGGAAGTCCACAGGCACCTACGTTGACGCGGTTCCCCCTCCTCGGGCGAACATGGTCAAGGGCATGTGGATCTTCAGGGTGAAGCGGCCGCCGGGCTCTCCACCTGTCTTCAAGGCGCGGTACGTCGCTCGTGGCTTCAGTCAGCGGCAGGGAGTTGACTACTTTCAGACCTTCTCTCCCACCCCGAAGATGACCACTCTTCGGGTGCTGCTACACATAGCCGCTCAGCGCGACTACGAGCTTCACTCTCTTGACTTCAGCACTGCTTTCTTGCAGGGTAGCCTGCACGAGGAGATCTGGCTGCGCCGTCCACCTGGCTTCACTAGGACTTTCCCTCCTGGCACCCAATGGAGCCTCCGACGGCCAGTCTACAGTCTCCGCCAGGCACCGCGTGAGTGGCACGACACACTGAGGACTACGCTTGCGGCTCTTGGGTTTGCTCCCTCTACTGCTGACCCGTCGTTGTTTCTGCGCACTTACACCTCTCTGCCGCCGTTCTACATCCTCGTGTACGTCGACGACTTGGTCTTTGCCACTGCTGACACTGCTGGACTCGCCTACGTGAAGTCCGAGCTACAGAAGAGACACACGTGCACAGACCTGGGAGAACTGCGTAGCTACCTTGGCTTGCAGATCACCCAGGACAGAGCACGCCGCACCATTACCCTGACTCAGTCACACATGGTGCAGCAGGTCCTTCAGCGCTTCGACTTCACGTACTCCTCGCCTCAGGCCACTCCTCTGGCTACTCGCCACTCGCTCTCAGCTCTGCCTTCGGATGAGTCCGTAGAGTCGAGTGGCCCGTACCCGGAGCTTGTTGGCTGCCTCATGTGCCTGATGACCTGCACACGACCTGACCTTGCATACCCTCTTAGCATTCTTGCACGCTATGTTGCTCGTGGGAGACACCGACCAGAGCACATGGCTGCAGCGAAGAGGGTGTTGCGCTACTTGTGCAGTACGTCGGGCGTGGGGCTAGTGCTTGGAGGGCGGAGTCCAGTGGTCCTCACTGGTCAAACGGACGCTTCTTGGGCTGACGACCAGGCTACGCAGGGGACGTCGCAGGGGTACACCTTCAGTCTTGGTTCTGGCTCTGTCTCTTGGCGGGCTACTCGCTCGTCTTCTGTTCTCGGCTCCAGTTGTGAGGCTGAGATCTACGCCGGGGCCATGGCTGCACAGGAGCTTTGCTGGCTCACCTACCTGCTGACTGACCTTGGAGAGCCGCCTCGTTCTCCTCTAGTGCTGTACATAGACAACAAGGCCATGCTGGCCTTGTGTCGAGAGCAGTGCTTGGAGCACAGAACGAAGCACATTGCTCTCCGCTACTTCCTTGCTCGTGAGCTGCAGCAGCGTGGTCAGTTGCGACTTGCGTAGGTGGCCTCTGAGGCCAACACTGCTGATGTTTTCACCAAGGCACTTCCGCCTTGTGATCATCAGCGCTTCTGCACTCAGCTGGGACTTGTACCTGTCTTACCTCACTTGCTCACCTCTTGACCTTGCTTGTACTCTTGCATATATATATATACCTGCTCTTGCTTGTTTAGCCTTATATATATATGTGTCTCCTCTTGCATGTGAACTGGCCTTGTGGCCTTTGACCTTGTGCTTGGACTTTGTGGTGACTTTGTGATCCACCCTGAGCTTTGCTTTGCTTTGCTTGACTGGTCTTGTGACCCCTTGTTCTCCCCCACTTTGCCTATGGGGGTGTGTCAGAACATTATAGCTTACTTGTTTGTGTAGGCTATAGTGGGGTATCCCATAGGGGGTACAACCCAATTAGGGTTTCCTATTTGTACTCACTTCGTTCATAGTCATTTCATTCTCGTTCTTTCTTTCACACTACCTGCTGACCGAACTTGGAGAGCCGCCTCGTTCTCCTCCAGTCCTGTACGTAGACAAAAAGGCCATGCTGGCCTTGTGTCGAGAGCAGAGACTGGAGCACAGAACAAAGCACATTGCTCTTCGCTACTTCCTTGCTCGTGAGCTTCAGCAGCGTGAACAGTTGCGGCTTGCGTACGTGGCCTCTGAGGCCAACACTGCTGATATTTTCACCAAGGCACTTGCGCCGTGTGATCATCAGCTCTTCTACACCCAGCTGGGTCTTGTACCTGTCTTGCCTCCCTTGCTCACCTCTTGACCTTCCTTGTACTGTTACATATATATATACCTGCTCTTGCTTGTCTAGCCTTATATATATATATGTTTATTCCTGCATGTGAACTGGCGTTGTGGCCTTGAAGTTGTGCTCGGAATGTGTGGTGACGTTGTGATCCACCCTGAGCTTGCTTTGCTTTGCTTTGCTTGACTGGTCTTGCGACCCCTTGCTCTGCCTATGGGGGTGTGTCAGAACATTATAGCTTATGCTGTTGTGTAGGCTATAGTGGGGTATCCCATAGTGCATACAACCCAATTAGGGTTAGTACTTGTACCCACTTCATTCATAGTTCATTCATTCTCGTTTCTTCTCAGAAGACGTTGGCCGACCTGGCCCGCGAAAACGACGCCGGGCAGCTGCCTCCGACCAATAAGTCGACCAAGCGCAAGAAGACCGTGTGAATGTTCCCAGGCCTCCTGCTACTGTGGGCTGTTGCATGTTGTAGATGTTGATGCAGCATGCCTACGTTTCATACTGATACTGATGTAGACTTTTTGTTTCTCACAATGATCCTATTGTGCTTGGCCTAGCGGCGCATTCATATGTCGTTCTAACTGAAGTAGACAATCATTACTAGCTAATGTGTTCATTACTCATCCTACGTAAAGTAAACAGGCACGCACACAAAGAAACACAAACAACGAGCATCAAAGGGATCCGACAGCCGAAACAAACAAAACGATATCGACCATAGCAGCACCGAGTCCACGCAGCACTCAATCCTAGCAAGCCGTCGACTAGGCCGTCGTGCTGTCCTTCTTCGCCTTCTTGCCCTTCTTCCCCGTGCCGCCCTTGGCCTTTGTCCCCTTCTTGCCCCTCAGACCCTTCCTCCCCCTGTTGTCAAGATCGGCCTTCATCTGCGCGTCAATTGGCACCGCGATGTCCCTCGCTCTGAGTTTCGGCCCGGCGACAGGGCACATTCCCCAAAACGCCATCGTCTCAATCATCGCTCTAGCGATAACGTCGGCATCTACTCCAGCATTCCCCCCCAGATAGACCCTATCAAGGGCAGTCCTCTGGAGTGCTGGCACGACGTTGTAAACAACCTCTCCGAGGGGGCGGTTCCTGTTCATCTCGGCGTTCAGCACCGCCTCCATGAATTTTCCGAATACATCGGCGGTCGCCTGGCTCGCTCCGCCGATGATCGCTGCCGACTTCCCTTCTTCTACAGCATCCGTCAGCTGGGCATCGCCGTTCTCGACGAAGCACCACACAGCGCATGCGGATGCTGCTAACGCCCATGCCGCCAAATCCGTCTTCTCCTTGTCTCCTCCTTCTTCGCCGCTGCCGCAGCGGTCTTCCCATACGCAGCGCACATTGACACGCGGCCTATCATCGCCGACATCATGGACGCCGACTTCTCCCGGCCTTCCTCGGTGCTAGCATCGACTGGGTACCATATCGCTGGCAGGAGCGCGGCGTGGAGACCATCGCCTGTGGACCTATAATAGCGATACGCGTCGAGGATCTCAGTCAGCCTGTCACGCCACCACAAACAGGGCGAACATTAGTGACAACGACAACGATATCGACTTTGGATCGGAGGATTGCCGACTTACCGTATCTTTGGAAGGAGCGTACCCCGGGCCCACATCGCCGTCCACATCCCTGTCGGCAAGATCTTCACCTCCTCCCACACCTCCTTCCACCTCTCCAATTCGGCGCTGTCCAAGCCGGTGAGCTCGGTCATGAGCACCTTGCTCACGAAACCGTCGTAGACGACGTACGCGATGGAGTGAACGTACGCGAGCTCCATCTAGTCCCGCGACTTGCCGATGTATCGATTGATGCCGTGCACCTTAATCTCGCCGACCCACCCTTGCTTGTCGCCCCAGGTATCGTGTCGGATGCCATGACCCCTCCTCTCCTTGCCCTTCCCCTCCTCCTCCTCCTCCTCCTCCTCCTCCTCCTGTTCTTCTTCTTCCTCCTCCTGCTCGACCTCCTCCACCTCCTCGACATCCTCATCCTCCTCCTCCGCCTTCCTCTTTCCCTTTCTCACCTTCGAGGAACCCTCGTTGACCGCCTTCTCCTTCCCCTTTCTCCCGGTCGACGCACCTTCTCCGACCGACTTGTCCTTCCCCTTCCTCCTCGTCGACGTACCCTCGCCGGGCGACTTCTCCTGATTCTCCCCTTTCCCTTCAACCTCCGCAATGCCGCCTCCATCTTTGTCCGCCGCCGTCCCCGCCGCCATCCCCTTCTATTTATCCGCCGCCTTCACCTCCGACTTCTCCCGCGTCTTCCTTTGTGAGCCCGCCTTCCCCTTCCGTTTCGACTTTCCTTCACCGACCGCATCACCGGTCACACTAGGCTCTGCCGCGATGCCGAAGAGTCCCGCCAAAGGCTCCACATGTGCCGTGTCGGAGATGGCCAGGGTTCGGGGATTGGCTGCATCTAGATGGGTCTGTATGGCAGCGATATCAGCGTCTGCGGGGACCTCCTCAACGGCGCCACCGCCGGTGGCAAGCGCGGCACGAACGCCCTTCTCCGCTGCCTTCTCCACATCAGCTGCCACATGGGTGGGTGGTGCGACATTCGCCGACGACGGCTTAGTGCCAGAGCCAGAAGCCTGCTGAGTCCTCGCAGTTGACGCTAGTGCACCCAGCTAGGCGCACAGCAACGCGGACTTTGGGTCTGCAGGATTACGGGCGGCGACGACCGGCACTACACGTGGCACACCGGCCGATGGGACGTCGACAGCAGGGGGGGGCTGTTGAACAGCCCTGTGGCCGGCTAGGAGCCTGAGCTGCTCCTTGAGCGCGTCCGCAACTGCTGCCCCTTTTCCCGCACGGCCAACCTTGTCGGCAAACGGTACGTCGGCATGGTGCGGGACGTCGGCAGGTCGCCCGGCAGACGGTCCGGTTTGATGGCGTGCACCCGCGGGAGACTGGTGAGGAACAGCTGACGCCTCCGCAACCCCTGTCTTCGGGCCCTGGCCATCTTTAGCGGACCCGCCTGTGGCCGTTTTGGCGGCGGCCTTCTCCTTGCCGCGCAGCCCTTTCTCACCGCTACCCTGTCGTAATGGCTTAACGGCGACCGAAGGCGGAGCCATTGGCAGTGCGTCATCAGTGGCATGCTCATCGGCGGGACCCCCACCACCATGGCCCGTGCTGGCCGCTCCAACCTCAGCCCAGTGCTTCCTAAGGATGTCGACCACGCTCTTCCCCGACTGCTTCCCCGAACTGCCGTCGCCGGCTCCCATGCTCCCATCGCCGGCGACGCGAGAACCAACCGCTCCCTTGGTCCGCCTCGCGCCCGCCGAATCGTCTCCGTCCCCCCCCCCCCCCCCCCCCCCCCCCCTCCCCCGCCGCCTCCTTCTCCGGCCCCCTTGCTCCCGTCGCCGGCGACGTGAGACCCCCCGCCTCCCTTGCTCCGCTTCGTGTTCGCCGAATTGTCCCCGTTGCCCCCCCCCCCCCCCCCCCCGCCGCCTCCCCCCCTCTTGTGACCCAGCTTCAAGCCCTCCGTAGGCTGCGCTTGGCCGGCGTCGTTTGCCGACGGCGACGACCCACGCCGAGCAGTCGCCACCGTGCCGACGACCTCGGTCATTATCTTCAGGGTGATCTCCGTCACCGCCTTCAGCACGTCCTCCATGAAAGACTTCAGGAAATCTTCCGGCAAGGCCTGCGCTGGGGCGGTCGGCGGCGGCGGCTGGACTAGGCGGGGCGAGACGGCGGCGGCAATGTTGGTCCGCGCGGCGCCGATGTATTTGATGAATGACTCCTCCAACCCCTTCCTCGCCTCGCCCACCTCAGCCGTCACGTGCTCGGTCAATGTCTTCACCGCGGTCGCGCGTGCGACCGTTGCTCGTCCCTTGGGGTCGTCAAGATCCAGCAGCATCTGCCTCGCTAGCTCGGCGAAGGAATTGGCTGATTGAATTGCGCTGTCCATGTTGTCGGTGAGGCCCTCGGTGATTGTGGTCGCCATGGTCGACGTGGCCTCTTTGAGGCGCTCCTCCGATTTCCGGTCGGTGTCGGCGACCTGGGCGGTCAAACCCTTCACCTTCTCGAGGAGCCCAGCTAATGCCGCCGCCAAGCTGTCGACCCGCCCCGTCTGCTCACCGAGCCGCCGTTCAAGGCGTGCATTGTCTGCACGCAATCGCCTGTTCTCCGCTCTCAGCTGATCGACGACGTCCAGCCATGCCTGCCGCCCAGCCGCGGTGGAATCGGGATGACCGCTCGCCGCCTTCTTCCTCCTAGACCGCTCCCCCCCGGCCTTCTCTGCGGTAGCATCGGTATGCACATCCACGCCCCTCTGCTTCGGGACCGCGGCGTTATCCCCTTCACCGACCTCGACCATGCCACCACCTCCGTGAGCTGCCTCCACGCCGACCTCACCGAGATCCGCTGTCGCACCCTTCCCCTCCCCTTCGTCGTTCTTGACATCCGCCGATCTCCCACCCATTTCCTCCCCTCCTCCAACAACGTACCCCTCCGCCATTTCCACGTCCTCCACCTCTACCAACTGCTCCTCCTAGTGCTGCCTCTCGTGCTCCACGCCTACCAAAATCGGGGGCTCCCCTTGGGTCGCTCGACTATTTCGCGACCCGTTGTGGTGACGCCACGTACTCGCCCGTCATTTCGCATTGTATGCATGCGACATTTCGTACCCGCCGAAATTCGAGCGAAAACTGGGTCGTTCGCCCCGGGGTGCACAGTTTTCGCGACCCGTTGCGAAATCGACACGTGGTGCCGAAACGTCGCACTGCGCGCATGCAAAGTTGCATCCCCTGGCCGACCGAGGCCAGGGGACGTGACGTCGACCTGTTGGCTCGGCGGCGAGGGTGCACTTGTGCCACGCCACTTGTGCATGAGCCCTGCCGAGCCAGGCATCACGGCCCCCTGGGCGACGCTCAACCGGGCCTGCGTGGCTCCGCCTGGCTTTTCTTCGTTGGAGGTGGACTTGGCCCTCATTTTCGCGTTCTCGTTTCTCTTTCATTTTTTCTCCTAGCTCTGCGCCTTCCGTTAGCCTGTAGCATAGCATCCTCGCTCTCCCGCCATGGCTGCCGGCCAGAAAGCCGCCAAAGCGGCGCCGACCTCGCTAGATTTCCCCCTGCATCTAGACATCGGTAGAGGACACATGGCCAAGTTCGAAGAGCACGACTACGCCGTTCTGACAAACCCTATGCTAGAGTTTAACGCCCGTTGCTTGGGACTCAGTCTCAAGTGAGTGTCTTATGGAGATGTCGTCGACGACGGGCCTATTCCATGCTGGTCGGCCCTAGCGGGGTTTCAATGCGTCCAGTAGTTTATGTCGACGGGCTTAGAGTTCAGGTAGATCACATCGGTGACGCCGACGTAATGCGTTAGGTTGTCGTCGACGCTGAGTTGTGCCGAAGTCGTTCGGCTCCCGTCATTCCACCGTCGTGCCGCGCACCTATACCTCTCTAACTTGTTGTAACCATGCATGCGTGCAGGCACGCATGGATCCGCTCAACGGATGCAGGCGAGCGATTGTGGTCGATAAGAGCCGGCCGGCTTCGGGCGGCGATGGGTCAGGACGACCACGCATGCTTTGCGACAATTTTCGACGCCGACGTGGCGGTTATCCCACTGATATCGAGGTGAGCAGGTTTGAGGTCCTGTTGTGTGCTGCAACCTGTGTCGGTGATTTGTTCTGAGCGCCATCGACGTGCCTTGTCTGTGCAGCATCGCACCGCTTCCGGGAGCACATTGCAGCGTCATTCTCATCCTGTGCCCCGGCGATTTGTTCAATGCCTCGGGGCCGGAGGTCAGGACCTCGATCCGGCACATCGACCCGCAGACAGTGAAGGAGTGGCACCGCGACGAGGCGATCCGCGTGCTGAAGTGAGCTCGATAGTTTAGTCGACATCGCATACATTGTCGACACGGAGTGTGCACCGTGCTAACCGACCGTCCTTGCCATGCTTTTGCAGGTTTTTCCGGACCGCTGTTCTGGCCGAGCTGCGGTGCGAGGGTAGGAAATGGGAGTGGGCGAAGCCGTCCGAAGACGAGGTGCAGGCGAGGCTCGCCGACTGCGACGAACCCCTTCGAGATGTGAGTTCCAGACGATTCGCCGTCATATGGTGTCACATCTACGCCACCCTAATCCATGTGCTCTGCACTGTTGTATGCAAAAAGTTCCCGATACCGTCGCATGAACTCCCCCGATTTTCAACCCTAAATTGGGGGAGCGGTTGTACTCATTACAGAGTACCCCGCTGCAGGCTAGACAGCAAATACATTCTGACAATGCGCATACATGAAATGCAAAATGAAATGCACATCTCACACGACACAAATTACCTTCAAACAAAACTCCCCCATTTTCCGTTACCGTTGGCGAATAGGCGGTAGGTTGCAGTGCAAACCATGTATTGCACTCAACACCAAGGTGCCTAGCGCAGACCATGGACAAGTCGTCTCAGGCTCTACTTGGTCCCAAGCTAGAAAAGGTTAGTAAAGCCAGGAGGACGGCGCACCCAAATCTTGCAGGCTTCCCTAGAGAAAGTCAGTGGAAACGTCTAGCCAGTGCAGCTCGTGGTCACATTGTGCTACAACGTGCAACAAAACCGGATGAATAGTTATTTTTCAAAGTATGAAAGAAGTCTACTTTCTCACGCTGACTAAAGCCTCTCGCCATGTAGTGCGCCTTGAAGATAGGCGGCGATTCAGGTGGCCGCTTCATCTTGGATATCCACATGCCGTCGACTACGTAACTACTTATAGATCTCCAAGATGCCATCTCCAATTCTATGAGAGGTCCATGGCCTTAAGACTTCCTCAGCGTAGGTGCAAGGTGTCCGGATGTCAAATGCGCCTGGGTCACTCTCAGGAGGTGGAGAGCAGCGGTCGCAAGAAACTCAAACTCAAAATTTATATCCTTTAGGATGTTACAACAAAATGCAAACTCACCCATAGAGGACAGGGGACTGGAAGTAGAAGTAGCCACCAACAGGGTGGCGTAGTGAAGATAGCGGGTGGAGGCAAAGTCAGCGACAGTTGCGACAAGAGACGAAACAAACGACGGAGAAGCAATAGGGTTATTGACGAGAGAGGAGAGGACACAAGAAACAATTGGGCGAGTAGCATGGTGGTAGTCAGAAAAAGGTGGAGGGACAATGAGAGTTGATGCCGGAGGTAGCAGGAGAACATAGAGAGGCAGAACACAAAGTGGGAGAGAACAAAGAAGTAGGGAGTGGAGGTCCAGACCGAGGTAGAAGGAACGATCACCCAGAGGACGATGTGACCATGGAGTGGAGGCTAGAGACAGAGAAAGAAGTAGAAGAAGAAATAGCTGTCACCACAGAGGAGAACGAGTCGGAGATGAAATCGTGGGAGGAAATGTGGGACCGTAAATAGGAAGAGGCGGCGAACGTCCTAGCGAAGGAGAAGGAAGACTAAGTAGATGAAGACCACTCACATGTGGCGACAATCGCTGCCGCTGCTGCTACTACTGCTGTTGTTGCTTATGGTGCCATAATAGCTATGGCCTCACCGAACAATGCGGATCCACCGAGTCAGGTGCTCCAGCGGCAGCACCCCTAGAACCAACACCTCCAGTGCCAGCACCTTTCATGCTAGCACCTCCAGCTCCAACACCTCCCACAACAGCACCCATTACCTCCAACACCAGCACCTTCAGCTGCACCACCCCCAAAACCAGCACCTCAAGGGTCAGCACCCCCAAAATCAGTTCAGCACCTCGAACACCAGCTCCTCTAGCGTCAACACCCCTAGAGTCCACTCTGACCTGCCGCGGCAACTCTGAAGGCTGCTTCAGAGAGTGTGAGGACGATGTAGGGGTCTGTGGTGAGAGGGATGATCAGGAGGTGCTACCCTGGGGGGAGGGGGAGAGCGAGACCCACCAGACAAGGTAGGATGCATGTGGTACTACCGGAGGAGAAGAACCAAGAGGAGGAGTGTTAGTGAGGTAGAGCGGAGGGGGGGGGGAGGAAACTAGGGTACCTCGGTGGGGATAACGGATCTAGGACACTGACTTGTTTGACGTGGCGTCGTGGGACTCAATTATTCGGTGGGTAGGAGGGTTGTAATATAGTCAGTCAGGAGCATCGACTAGAAAAACAAGGAAGACACATGCGAGGGTGCGAGCTGAGAGCTTGTCCGCCCGAGGATCGCGGATATGCGCAAGGCAGCCTCAGATACAAAGAGCAGACGTGGCACTAGGGGACCCAATCCAACGATTGGTTGGTGAATCCTGAGGACCTAAGTTCAACTGATGCGCGACGTAGGATACCGCAAACGGTCACATAAAATGGGGTGCACATGCATGGAACATGGAGGTACGAGCGATATCCATAACGAAGCCTATGTGGCACTCAGCAGCCTCAGTCTGCTGTGGAGAGTCCGGGAGCGTGTAGGACTTGGTGATGCCCTGCTCGCGGCAGAACTCGGCAAGTTAGCCATAGCAAAAATCAACCCCACGGCCAGTGTAGACAAAGCACAGGCAGGCCGCACTGGGCGCAAGTGGTCACTAACCACGAGATTAGAGCATCAGACACGTTAGCCTTCCGCTGTAGGGGAAACACCATGTTATAGCGGAAAAAATCGTCCACAAGCACTAGGAAGTAGCTCTCCCATCACGACCCAGAGACAGGGGCAGGACCTAGACGTCCATGTGCAAGGTCTAAAAAGGTGTTGCGGCTGGGACAAGTGAGGAGGAGTGAGGAGCAGCGCGCTGCCGACCCCTGACACAAGGACTGCATGGCAGAGCAGGCGAAGGAGGGCGAGGAGGATGCAAGAACGAGAGATCCGAGATAAGGCCGTACTTATCCATGTGACGGAGACGTGGGAGTGCAGGGTGACCTAGATGGTGGTGCCATAGGAGGGACAGGTACGTGAGGGATCCACAATAACACGATGCAGCAACCTGACCTGACGCAGTCATTGGGGGGGACGTAGTGTACATGTGAAAGGGACCTGATGAAAGCTCACGGGAAAACATGGCCAAACGTGCCCCATTAGAAGCATTCGTTTAAGTTGCAACCTTCTCATATGCAGCAAAGGTGACTGTCATCCCACGGTCCTGGAGGTGTCCAACGGATGTAGAAACAAGTGAGGGAGCCTGAGAGGACAGTTGGACACAAGATCGTGGTAGTACTGCGAGCAAAGGCTAGTTTAGAAGTAGGATCAGCCATAGCGACAGCGACTGGTACTGGAAGAGGCATGATAGTCATGTCGTCACAGAAGAATCACTTTAGCACACATGGTAGTACCATCTAGGCTAGCAACAACAAAAGCACCCACACTAGAAACAGACAAAGGTCCTAGTTTAGGTACACCCAAGCGAACAGATTTAGTGGTCAACAATATATATGGAAGAATAGACATCATCAGTGGACATCTCAATCACATGGTAATAACGAATAATCAAAGCAAGACAATGCGGGGGGAGGGGGGGGTGGTGGGGAGGCAGGTGCGGGTGAGGCCCATGATGTTGGCAAAAGTGGTCGTTGAGGC